AAGAAGGAAATATAGAAATATATAATGATTAAATAAAGACAGACATTAAAGAAGAATGAGAAGAATAAAAAGAAGAAGAAGAAGAAGAAGAAGAAGAAGAAGAAGAAGAAGGAGAAGAAGATGAAGAAGAAGGAGAAGAAGAAGAAGAAGAAGAAGAAGAAGAAGAAGAAAAAGAAGGAGAGGAAGAAAAAAAACTGAGGGTTCATGGTAAAACAAGGGGGACCGTAGCTTTAACTTCCGTACCGACCATAGTCTTTTTTGTAATCCTTTCTTTGCAGGGTGTCACACGAAAGGTTTCGACCGAGATGCTTGTAACATCTGCACCATGTCAACTTCTGATGGCGTCCCATCATTCCTCTCGTCCAATCACATCGACTGTAACATGAAGTGCCCCTTAGGTAAGATACTACGATACATACTCATACTCACAGACTGTGGCCCGAATTCAAAAATGAGGTTTGTCGACAAACCTTTGTTTATGTGCGTCATATAACGCGTTTCGATGCGTTTCAGACCAAAGTTTAGGTTTATGTGCGTCATATGACGCGTTTCGACGCGTTTTTACAAACCTTGTGAATTCGGGCCTGGAAGAGTGTAAAGCTCATGTCGAGGACAAAACAAAACGAAATTTGGTTGTGGTAACATTCTATACCCATCTGTGATATTAATTAATCATTTTATTCATTCATTTTTTTTTCAATTACAAACAAAAATCAAAAGCAAACGAATGGAAATTTCAATAATTTAAATAAGAAAGTTATTCCCGAAATATTTCTTTCTGTTATTTATTAAACTACAAATGAATAAAATATGTCTTCTTAGAACTTTTATGTTCTATATCATGTAGTTGTCGTTTGTATTCTTTTTCTTCTCTTGCTTGCTTGTTGTTGCTGTTATTTCTTCTTCTTGAGGAGGCGCGATTGCTCAATGGTGGAGCAGTGGTCTCGTAACCGGAAGGTACCGAGGTCGAAACCAAGTCGATACGTTCTTGCCCTTAGGATGAGGCACTACTCATCATCACCAAGTCCTCCAGAGAGGACTTAAAGCCGTCGGTCCCCTACTTGCTTAATCCCAAGTATATACATGCTTTCTTAGCAGTCTGGTTAAACATCATCAAACATCAATTGTATGTTAACACCATCATCATCGTGATCATCATAAACATCGTTTACTTCTTCTTCTTCTTCTTTTGCTTGCCTTTTGTTGTTGATATTTCTTCTTCTGCTTCTTCATCATCGTCTTGTCTTTGTTGCAGTTGTTCTTCTTGTCTTTTTAATCTTCTTCGTCTTATTCGTCTTCTTCTTCCCTATCGTTGCTGTCAGTTGCTATTGCTACATGTATCATTGATTATTACGAAATATGTTATTTCTGCTCATTCCCCCTATTAGATATGGACTACGGAGCGATGGAAAATGAGTGTGGTTATTGTGTACTTGGTGGTACTGGCTTAGATATCACTGAAGGATTAAATACATGCGGTGGATGTGGAGAGGATACGTCATGTATAGGTTGTGATGGAGAACCTAATAGGTATGTTTATGTACAGTTAAACAACTGAAATATTCATATCTCTTCTAAATTTGATGTTTTTTATTTTTTCGTAACCCAATAATGAAATAGATTGGTTGAATTAGGACCTTTGTTGAATACTTGTACATGAAACGTACCAAGGACATGGCCGCTAGACCACCTCACATCTCCCTGTAGATATCACTACTCGATAAGGCCTAAACAAAATATACGTATTGCCCTTTATTAACTGCCAGCACCTGAGTCGGTGGGTCAATTCTTTTCTTTTTTCCTGTTTTGTTGTTGTTGTTGCTTTTTTCCCTCTTTGGTCTGTTATTTTTCAGTTTTGAATGCTTTAATATGTTTGTTTTTTATTCATTAAACATTTTTTCTCAAAAAAACGGTAACAAAAAAAGTTTAATAAAAAGCCGACCGTAAATTTCAGGATTTTGGGGTCGACTGCAAAGGGCAATACAACACTTTTTTGTTAAGCCTAACACTAGTAGATAGCACTAGTATAGTTATAAATATTACTATACGATTTAGCTTTTGCATTTATTTTTTAATATCGGTCCAAAGATGATGCGAAGCAAGAATATATAAATGCCGACTGTAGTAAGAAGTTTCTTTGAAACTGATCCCATGGTTATGCTTATGTTTATGATCTTAGGATTTTTTTTCTCACAATCAAATATTTGCACCCATACACTCTTGCACCTCGTTTTCTAATACCTTACCAATACCCTAATATACCGAATATTTCAGTTATTAAGAATACCGCTGAAGGCTGAACACTATTTAACTTTTGCAATTAGCTTTTTTTAGAAGAGGGACTTTGTTTGACAGTAATTTTGAATAAACAATTCTATTCTATTTCAATACCAGTGGTATAACCCTTGACAACTGTGATACCTGTGGCGGAAACCATACTGACTGTATGAAAATAGTTGGTGTCGACCCAAAAGCTATTCCTGAAAGCACGGACTACAAGGTACGACAAGATTTATTACATACCTCTCTTTAGAAAACTAGCCATCTGATTGGTCGAAATTGGAGACATGACTTTAGCCGTCATTATATCTATACTATTACATTCAGACACTTAGGCTAATGCAATTGTATGTTAGTTAGAAATCTCTTCTAAACTGGAGCGTCCAAACACGTTTTATATTCTTCTCGTAAGAAATACAGTCAATATGCAATCAGTTTATGTAACAAATATTGCGATTCCCCCAAAGCACGAGGCTTGCGATCGATTCCCCATAAAATGTTCAAACTTGATGTCACGATGACCTATTCACTCTATACAATTATACCTTGTTGATTCTCAATAAAGTCGAACCCAAAATACTATGCGATGGATATCAATTACTAAAGGGCATTTATATTAAAGTCAACCATGATATTAAGTTGTTATGATGAGAAGTTTAAACAAATAAGAGGAACAGGACAGTGAAACTTTGAGCAATTCCGATAAAGTTATGAATTTTGAAGTTGTGATCAATCAAACACAAATTGGCAACTCAACAGCAGCAACAAAACAACAACAACAATTACCAAAACATACACAATTAAACTACAACATTAATATTTCCAAAAAACAACAGCAGCAGCAAACAAAACCTGACTTGACATGCCATTCGCGTATACGGACAATACGGTACTATGATTACAATATGGATCCATCTAAAACCTCGGCTCATATTCATTAAACCAGCTTACTGAGCCTGGTTGTCAATTGACTACCTACATATCAAGTGCCCAGACATGTTGGTTATCAGGACAGTTGATTCCAAACAATAATTTCAAAATAATACAAGCATTATTTCAAGATTTTTGTTGAAAGACTTATGTTATTACTTAACAATCAGCTTAAGATTTCATAAACACATTTCGTAAATACTATCTGCGCATGGGCAGATAAAGGTCATTTGTGATAAAATTGTAAAACCCACCGAGATGAATACGTGCTCATGTTATGTAATTATAATTCATGTGGGCCCCTACGGTACATTCTATGATACAAGAGGGCAAACAAAAAGCTTTTCATGAAGCACATACATGACTTTGGCATTGCTTATTCTAAAATACACAAATTGGGACTTCGTTATGAGTAAAATATATGTGGATATTTGGGGTCATCGACCCATGGTCTATTAACAAATGTCTCTCTCATCTGCGCAGGTCACGGTGCACGGAGCAGGATTTCATGAGGAACCTACACCCGTTTGTATATTCGTACGAGTATCAGACTCTATGGAGTTTGATAGCACTATGGAGGTCGTAAGTCCGTCAATGGGATACTGCGTGGCTAACCTGGAGATTGGTAAATAATAGAATAATAATAATAATATTTTGCTTTTATATAGCGCTTAATACAATGTCTCTAAGCGCTTTACAAATATATTTTTTTACCCCGGTCATTGGATTCAGTGCTTGCCCGCAGACACTGTGTGCACAATCTCCACTCCCTGGGGAGCATTCCAGCCAGGTACCCATTGAACACCTGGGTGGAGAGTAGCAAGTGAATGATGATGATGGTATCGATGTAAATGATAACAACATCACAAGCAACAATATTCATATCAATAATACCAATAACAATAGTGATAATCGTACTTAATAATAACTCCTTGAATGCACTGAGCGCTACCGTTGCCGGATCTGGAGCTAAAGCCGGGGTAATAATATCCAAAGTCCTTGAAAGTGTATAGAGACGTTTTTTTTTTAAATCTTAATGTGATATGCGCTATACAAGCACGGTATATTATTACTAATTCTACAACTACTATTACTACTCCTACTACTACTTATTCTACTACTACTTATACTACTACTACTACTACTACTACTACTGCTACTTCTTCTGCTATTACTGCTACTGCTACTATTACTACTACTACTATTAATATGACTACTACCAATTGCTACTACTACTACTACTACTACTACTACTACTACTACTACTACTATTAATACTACTACTGCTACTAGTGCTATTATATATCTGTATGCTGCATTTGGTTGTAATCGTTGTTTACTTCAGGATTTAAGAATAATAGAGGATTTTTACATTCAAATAACTGTCTAATTTGGGATTGCTGTACGTGGTCAATAAAAGAATGCAAGGATACTGTTTAATAAAGAATTCAGATTATTTCCGAGAAGGAGGAACCTTATAATGCATGAATTTGGGTAGAAAATCTACCACCGAATAAGAAATGAACTACAACTTACTTTTCTAACTGTATATACTATGTATATATTAATACAATTGTCGTGATTTTATTTCTTTATTCAAGGGGAATATGACGTTCATGTGGAGTTCGATACTACACGATTTGAAGCATCACTCATTCGCGTTTACACGCGTAAGTATGACATTAACAATCAACATTCAACGGAGAGGTGTCGTAGTGGACTGCCAATGGATTTATTGATATTTCATTTATAACGCGATGTAATCCACGTTTCAAACATTATTTTTAGTTATGTCGGGTAGGCCTTTAATAATCTTTTTAGTTGTCAAGATAATTTTGGTTAAAAATGTATGCATACAGTTATTGAACAGGGCCCTGTCTTACAAAGAGTTGCGATTGATCCAAATCAATCGCAAGTCCTCTGATCAATCGCAAGTATGCAGTTCCCTATCTCTCATGAACACAGTTGCGATTAATATAAATTGCAAATAAGTTGCAATTAATATAAACTATTTTAAAGACAGGGTCCAGGTCTATTATGTATCTATTCCCATATGTTTTCATTATGTCTTTACAGCTATCACAATCGACATATCCGAAGATGTTTTCATGCTCGACTCGACATCAACAGACGTTCACCTCAGCTTCACAGCTAATGACTCGGATTTTACTCAAGCCATTGCTATACAAATCATACCGTTTCTCCTCTTTCTCGACGGTAATAATAATAACAATAATAATAGCTCACATCTAGGCGCAGCACATATTATTATCCCGGTCATCGGATTCAGGCTTAGCCGCAACACAGTGTATGCACATTTCCCATTCCCTGGGGAGCATTCCAGCAAGTCACCATTTTACAAGCGCCGCTTGCTAATCCAACCATATTAGCTTTCGCATACTATCGGGTACCCATTTAACAACACCTGGGTGGAGAGTGGCAAATGTAGATCAATGTCTTGCCGCGGTGGGACTTGAACTTCGAAACTTGTGATCCACAGTCCGATGACATATCCACTCGACCACGATATTATTGTTTAGAGAATTCACAGGTGCTACCTCAAATCAAAAATTCTTTCGTAAAATCAAGCAAAGGTAATTTCCTAAGCTTTGTCCATCACCTATCGAAAAGTGCGAACATGGCAATGACCTAATGCGTAATCCGAGCATTATTTCATCAGTGACAAATGACAATTTGTGTTATAAGCTACTGAAATCCTTGCTTGCGATTGGTTATCAGCAGATTTATCACTGATTTTTGTTATTTTTCATTTAAAAAAAGTCTTTGTGAAACGCCCCCCCCCCCAGAAGTATGAAAACATATCTACTTACAACTTTGTATTAAACATCTCAATTATGAACCCAGTGCTCTATTTTTACTCCCTCTGTATTCTGTTCTGTAAAGCGCACAGAAACAAGCAATTATGCATTATGCAACCATCAATGAATATATTTATGCATTTTGTAGCTTATGAAGCATGTTCCTAGTGATTTTGTGTTTTACACAAACCCATCTTGTAATAATAATGATAAATCAAATGAAATATGAATATTCGGAATATTAATATCATCATAAACAGTTTTCCTAATCCAAATCAATCCACTTTTGCAGATTATAAATACCAGCCTTTCATACCGGGATTTTTTTCGGCCATTGGCTCTTCTATGGGCTTTTCCATCCAAACGCCATCCGAGTCGCGTCAAGTCATAGTCTCCCCTGGATTCAATCTAATCGATCCACTACCAACCATGGATGGCGGACCTTTCGTGTTAACCTTCTATGATCCACCGCCTCAACTTGACATGGCTAAACTTTCTTTTAAATCAATAGGTAAGATTTGAAGATGAGCCTGGAGGGCGTTTCATGAAACAATTAGTCGGTGGTTTTCTCAGACTAATATCATTTTCACCGACAATTCTATTGTCACTGACTATTTTCCAGGCCTCTGATTGGTCAAATTTAGTCAGCGCTGACAGTTGTCGGCGGACAAATGTTGATGAAACACACCCCCGGTTTCGGCTATCGGTTTTGGGGAGGGGGCACTCGTTTTATTAGGGGAGGGCATGTACGATACCTTTTGATACTTTTAGAAAGACTCAAGCATTCTTGCTTATGATAGTTGGCCTCTGCATTTATCTTGATTATTTTTTTTTTTACTTACCTCCATACTTTCAAGCTTTCAATTATGCATTTTTATTTGTGTGTATTTAAGTTGTCACTCTTTATGTAAATCAATTATATTATATACTATTATTGTTATTTGAATGTTTTTTATTTGATTTATCAATAAATGCAAAAACATCTGCTAAACAAAAAAAGATGTAAACGTGAGAAATCAAGGTTTTTATGATACTTGTGATAGATTTTCACAATTATGAAAGTTTTATACAGAAATCCTATTGAACTAATACTATATTCCACCAGTGGCTTAAAGTAGAGAAAGCTATTGAGGGGGCAATGGCCACATATGGGAGGGGCACCAGTTTTTTTTTCTCTCTCTCTCTCTCTCTCATTGAGTTCGTTTTTTTTTAGGGTTTGCAAATCCCTAATATGGCCTGATAACCTTCAATGACAGCCTTGCATCTCCATATAGCAAGATACGCGATCATACAATTAAAGCTTGAACAGGAACGAGGAGACAAACGCCCCCCCCCCCCCCCCCCCCCACTCAGTGTTATTTAGGGTACGCATATCGTTGGCCTTATGCCAAAAGGGCCTTAACTGCTTTTGGCCATTCCGAGATAATCGCGTTTAAAGGTTTTGGCCTCTCTAATAATCAAAAGTTTGTGGTCGTTTTTTTGCTTTTGAAGCCAATTTCGATAAATGTGTTAAGTTATTAAGTTTTACATGAAATGTGTTAAATTTGTTATAAAATATTCAGAATTGTACATGCTATGTGCAAAAAACATGTTAGGGCCTTTTTGGCATGAGGCTTGAATGTAGCGTGTTTATGCCAGAAGGGCCGTAACCTACTCGGCATTATGCCAAAAGGGGCGTAACCTACGCGGCGTTATGCCAAAAGGGCCTTAACCTGCCGTTATCGTACGCGTAACTATGCGCGCGTACGCGCGCATAGTTAGCGCCCTTTTGGCATAAGGAAATTTTATTGTTTCGCAACACCTTTGGTTTGCCAGAAAGGCCCTCCTAACGCAAATGGATCATCCGTGTAGCTAGGTTAAGGCCCTTTTGGCGTAAGGAAAAAGATGAGATACGCGTTAAGGCCCTTTTGAAATTCATAATTATCTTCATAAATAAATCGAATTTCAACAAGTGAAGCACATCATTTTAAAGAGAATGATGAAATCTACAAGATGATGTTAATAACTCAATAACCCCCAAAATCGGGTTAAGGCCCTTTTGGCATAAGGCCGACGATATGCTTGTTCCCTCTTTTTGAAAGCACCCCATTATTTGAGGACTGCCAACATTTCCGAACCCCACTTTCGCGGGGTTTTCGCGGGGTTTTCCTGCCTTGGAGACCCCCCTAATTCCGGAAAAATGCTCAATGTACCCCCCTGAATTCGGAATAATTTCTCAGGAGTCTAAAGAGATGAGAGAAAAGAAAAAAAATCACCTTTTTTAAAGAAATCTCCGGGTGAAAAGTCAAATACACCCCTTTTTTTTTTTTACAATTCTCGGGCCGGACTTTGTCGCACGAAAAGTACCCCTTTACCGGACATTTTGGTAACACGCATGCGGTCATTCCGACCCCGGAGTGGGGGGGGGGGGGGGCGGACAAACGCCCAGGAAAAACGTCTATTAAAATCATTTGTATTATTTGTTTGAAGGAAACGTTCTCGTTCTCGAGTTTCCTAAGGCGGTCGCCATCATGGATGACGTCCTTTCTGACTGTGATGCAATCTTCATAGCAACGGTGGAAGGTGGAATGGATGGGGGAGATGGAGAGGAGTCTCCTGAGAGTAGGAACCTGCTAGGGATAGGGAGCCAATGTACGCTGACCAGAAACCGTAAAATGCTCGAGATAATGCTTGGACAGGGAGACAATCTCATCATGCCAGGTGAACCGGATGCGTCTTATTTTTTCGTACCACGGCGAACCCAGATTCCAGTATGAACTCATTTTCATTCAAAACAAGCTACGAAAGCTTGCTAAGAGGTCACAAACAATTCGACTTTGATTATTTATTGCTTTGCCTCACTATTTATAAAGGCAAAAAAACTAAATAAACTGAGATTTGAACCCTCACGGCAACTCCATTTACGGCAACTTTCTATTAGTAACACGCTGTCCTTGCCGATTGAGCTGACGATGGGTTGATGACAGATTGATTTGTATAATAACTATCACTCTATTAACCACCCTACCGGATTCCACGTGCGCATGCGCTGGTTACCTTTGCGAGTGCGCATGCGCAGGTTTACCTCAATCTGGGCTCTCCGTGGTACGAAAAAATAGACGCAAACCCGATAGTTAACTTCAATATTTATAGAAAGCGGGCAATACCGAGGGAATTCGTAAACTTACGACCTAAACGCAACAAAATAATTTTGATCATGTTGATTATACTGATTGTGTAGGGAGATAAAGGAGAAGAATCAATTTAAACTTGAAAAGAAAAACGGAAACAAACAGAAGCTGATGAAACACTTTATTCAATATGAAAACAAACGTAGTGTGTTAAAAGTATCATTTCATGGTAGAAAGACGCCTTTTCGTAAAACTAGCTCACAAACTTAAACATTAAGTGCTGCAATGTCGTGGACGTTTAATACATGCATGATAGACAAATATGAGTGTAATAGAGTAAGAAAACGCAGTAATAACAACATGAAATGTCAGAAATTCATGATAATCTATTTATCTTTCGCTGATCCAGGTGAGAAAATCGCCGTCCGTAATGGCACCATTTATGGCGCCGGTAAGTACCCTAGCGCAGCGAAAGAGACCAACATTACGGTATTAGAGGGGGATTCCCCTCCAGTGGGTGTGGTCCTACGTGGAGCAACAACAGTGAGCAGCTGCGGCGATGTGAGCTTATCTGCACGGGAGAGCACCGGAGGTGCTAGCAGGAGCTTTACCTACCTCTGGATGGTTTACCCAACAGATAATACGAATCTTACCGATGCATTAAGCGGTAAGCATTCTTATTTTTTTTAAATAAATGTATCATTTCAATTATTACAACATTTCTGCTCAGCCTATATCAAAATGATAACGTTTTTGACTTTTTGAAAGGGTCCTTTGGTTACTTTAGATAGGCTTGAGATTGTCTTAGCTTTGTGTCATATGGTCTCTTGAATTCCCCAATAATGTTTTTTGCCCCTTATGTACAGTACTTTTTCTTTGAAAATTGTATAATTTTGTCCATCTAATGTTTTGCTTCCGAATCTGTAAAAATATTGTCAAATACAACCCTTGTGATGCGATGTAATTATTTCTATGAAAGTATCATGAATATAGTATAATGCATGATAATATATACTTAAACCTTTCTTATTATATCCAGAAATAACAACATCTCAACTGAATATCGATGGCGGCCTGCTGGTTGAGGACGTGGTCTATAAATTCACTGCCTTCGCGACTAACTTCTTAGGAGGAACAGGTGTAGGCTCTATTGATGTAGTCCGTACACCAGAAATGGTACCTGGTCTTAGCATCGTCCCTACCATTGATCCAAAGAGGGTAATGGTGTCAGAAAGGTACAACCACTAAATACAGGAGTGTCGTGGTCGAGTGGTTTAAGGCGCTTGACTGGAGATACGAAGGTCGAGGGTTCGAATCCCGACACGGCACTAATATCCTTTGGCAAGATATTAACCTGCACTACTCTCCACCCAGGTGTTAAATGGGTACCCGTTGCGACCGTCGTTGTTGGTCAAACATTTTTTGAGCGTCAAGTAACGCCTGGCTGGAATGCTCCCCAGGGAGTGGAGATTGTGCACACAGTGTGTGCGGGCGAGCACTGAATCCAATGACCGGCATAATAGAATATTTGTTAAGCGCTTAGGCTTTATAAAACCTAAATATTATTATTATTAAAGACACATTGCAGTCTGGGTTCTCATAGAGAATTCGACACCATTTGGGTGTTTACCCGGTCACAGGTGTGTTGTCAATCACAAGGATAAGCCTTTAGTGTTGCCTTTTGTAATACTTGCATTTTCTTCCAATAGTTTCATATTGAAATACCATTATCTTACAATTCCCTCATCCGAAGACTCTCTGAGAGACTATAGCAGGTATTTCTTGGTGGGATCACAAGTTTGCTATTTGCGAATACTTGCTCCTTGTACACCCAATAATGTTATTTCCACCACGACTGATGTCAACAAATTATGACATACTGCACACGGAGTCTGACTACAACCTGCCTTTAAAGGACTAAACTCTGAAGTGCTTTTTTAGAACAAGAACTAGAAGAGTCGACTGCAGTGAAAAGGCTTTGTCGACCGTAGCACACTTTCACTGGAACAAATTACCATTGGAGTTAAGAATTATAACATCATTAAAGACATTCATTCGCGTATTATTTTTGTGTTATTGTTATCATTGTTTTTATTATTATCATTATTAACATAAATCATATGAGAAAAGCTTTATCTGGAAATACATATTTTAATTATTTTAAGTTTGAAGATAATGGTCATTTTAGGAATTTAATACAAAATTTTATGACTGTTTTTCTCAAGATGATAATAATAGCTCGTTCTTATATAGCGCTGTTCGGGACCGCAGGCCCTCTCAAAGCGCTTTACAAATATATAATATTACCCCGGTCATCGGATTCAGGCTAACCCGCACACAATGTATGCACATTCTCCACTCACTGGGGAGCATTCCGGTCAGGCGTCATTTTTACAAGCGCACACTTGCTAATCTAAGCATATTAGCTTTCGCATTCTACCGGGTACCCATTTAACATCTGGTTGGAGAGCAACAAACGTAGATCAATGTCTTGCCAAAGGACATTCGTGCCGCGGCGGGACTTTAAGATAGCACAAATTATAAAATTGTCAACAGCCAAATTTACATTTTTTGGCTTAGAATAGATGGTAAACATTGACTCCATTGTCATGCTTGTATTCGTTTAAACAAATTATCATTCTATCAGGGATATTACTGATATATAAATCGGCTTTTTAAATAGAATTAGATTACCATCCATAATAACGTCTATATTATTTGTGTTTATTATTTTTCACAAATGAAATCGTTCTCGACCCCCCCTTCAACAGCTTCTATCTTCATGCCGAAGTTACGTTCTACTCTGACTGTGAGGGCGCTGAACCCAAGGAGACAGAGTATGTGTGGACAGTGGACAATGATGACGTCACATTAGACGGAACCACCCAGAATTCCAGGTCTCTCTATGTACCGGCTTTCTCACTCCCAGGTGAGAGTTATTTATGAATAAATATATATGTAGAGAGAGAGAGAGAGAGAGAGTAAGAGAGAGAGAGAGAGAGGGAGAGAGAGAGAGAGATCAGTGCGCATGCGCAGACATGGGCGCCATTTTAATTGGCGAGTAAACAAAGCCAATGACCTAGAGGTCATTTGGTTTGTGCGTAAATTAAGATTGCGCCCATGCAAATTATGATGTGAGCGCACAGCGCAGCGCGCAGGCAGTGATGTTATCATAATTTGCATGGGCGCAATCTTAATTACGCACAAACCACTGACCTCTAGAGGTCATTGAATTTGTTTACTCGTCAATTAAAATGGCGCACACAACCGTAAACTGGTGTATTCCAGGTCTCTGTGTGGTACGAGAGAGTAAGAGAGAGATAGAGGGAGAGAGAGAGAGAGAGAGAGAAAGAGATTAAAACACAGGATAATGATGACGTGACTTTAGAAGAAACCACACAGAATTCCAGGTCTCTCTATGTACCAGCTTTCTCACTCCCAGGTGAGAGTTATTTATGAATAAATAAAGATATATATGTAGAGAGAGAGAGATAGAGTAAGAGAGATAATAACAAAGAGATAACACCTAAGTACGAACTAGAGGGAAAGAGAGAAAGAGAGAGCATGAAGTTTCATATTGATGAAGCGAAACTTGGATAATATTTTGTCTCTACATTAATCTCATGAAACTCATAACATGTAAATGAATGAAGTAGACAGTCGTAACCTCTTTTACTAATCTTTGCTATTAACTTGTATTAATGCTAAACATATGTACAATTTTGTAATGATAATCATTTGAAGAAAAGTCATGAAAGTTCAACTTCTGTGCCAAGTTGTAGTTACTTGCTTGGCCATGGATTTCTACTGCTCTAGCATGGAATATCATTTGAAGCAATAAGAATCTAAGCTTTTCATATTTTATATTCATATTACGTGCTCAAACACGATGTAATTTTTACAAAGTCACTTATCACCCATCCCCTCCCCCTTTTAGCTTCGCCGTTCTATATGCGTATGAGCAGATAAAGGTCATTTCTGATAAAATTGTAAAACCCACCGAGATGAATTTATGTGATCATTATTCATGTGTACACTTACGTTACATTCCATGATACAAGAGGGCAAACGAAAGCTTTTCATGAAGCACATACATGACTTTGTCATTCATTTTTCTAAAATACACAGTGGGACTTCTCCATGAGTAAAAGATCTGTGGATATTTAGGGTCATTTGACCCATGTGCTAACTACGAAAATAATGGTCTATTGAAGTTGTCAAACTCAAAGCGATATCATGATCTCCTCTATTTTAAATACAGCTGACACCTCTATCACTTTTACGGTCGCGATCCAGGGAGTTAATGGAAGCTCTGGACCTAACAGTACCGTCACAATCACCACATATTCATCTAATCCCGTTGCAATGATCGTCGGTGGTCGTGAGAGGGATATCGGTATCGGAAGTGGGATGGTAGAGCTGGATGGGTCAGCATCACATGACCCTGATCAACCTGGGACTGATCATTTAGAGTTCACATGGAGATGTGTACAGGTATAACCACATTCCAGCCTGAACCCTAAAGTTACTATTTATTTTCACACCTAAAATGATTCAATGTCCGGGCTATTACTCATTAAGCCAGAAAGGTCAAACCGGTTCACGCCGTTGACGAAAACTGTAACTGATCTGCAGAAAATTTCGGAAGAATTTCGTATTGAGATCAAATTCTTTGAATTCAGACAAATTTATCATCAATACAAATGAACTTGATACCCAGAAGCCCTTCTCTAGAACTGCTATTGGTTACGATTTTATTTTATATGGGAATTCAACGAGCACTCATTTTCAGGCGACTTTTCTGCTGTGATATTTTTCAAAACTGATATATAGATAACGATACAACTTATAATTTGTTGTCTCATTATTACTAGAAGTCATTCTTCTCTTGTATCACAGATTCCTGAGAACATCCTCTGTGTATCGGAGGAGGATGGGTCTTTCTTTCCTGCACCGGAGCAGCTAGAATCTGCTTCTGTGTCTTTCAACGCTTCTCATATGGCCCCTAACAAGAGCTACGAATTCACTCTCAGGGTTGCAACGGCATACAAAGAGAGTCAGGAGACAAGTGTCGTCGTCTGGGCTACGTCGGGCAATGCTCCGCAGGTAATGCTACGGTCACAAATGTTCGTACGAACGATAATTTCGTACGAACTCCCTGTTTTTCCATTGCCTTCCCGAATTTCCATTGTCTCAAAATCGTTCGTACGGCGTTCGTAGCAGTTCGTAATGGCATTTGTGACCGAGGCTTGACAATTATATAGAATTCATTTAGATGTCGTGCCGTTGTCTGCCCGTCGTCTGCCCGTGAGAAGGTCGTTACTGCCATTGAGAATACATAACATGGCCCTTGCCGTCTTACGAACTTCTTGCGGGCAGCCAACGAATGAGCAAGATTGGGAAATTTCCTTTACAAATTACAGCATTTTGGATAGGAATTTAGTTATTTAATATAACATGAAGTATATATATGTTCAATATTGCTCCATTCGGGCTTCTCATTAGGAAATTTGGAAAAAAAAGTGAAACCAGTTTATTTTAAATCTTGCTTCTAATTCAATTCTTGTCATCACCGGTTTGCGAGGTCGCGATGACAACTTGAGATAATGTCACTAATCAATATGATTTTAAGAATACAGAGTAAGTCAGAAAAATGTCCCACTTTTTAAAAGTTGTATTGTTTGAAGTATGAATATTTAATCATGGGTTTCATGATAGGTCTTGATAGAGTTATCCTCACAGTACATTTAGGTACCATTTTTATTTGAATCTATGCATGCATGACTGAACATCAGACATTCGATTACTTATTTTTTCATTGCAATATATCCTCGCCTTATCGAAAAGTGAGTTGATGTATTTTTGTTTACATTGTAGAAAGTTAGTCGGAGTGGGGAAAATACCCTCCTTGCCACTCCTTCAAAGATGCTTTGTGTTTGTCCCGTTAACATTATCATCATCATTGACTTAATACCTGCAGTATCCTTGAGGAGGGGCGTTGGCTCAGTACTAGATGTCATGGTTTCGAAACTAAGTCAATTAGTTCGTGTTCTTTGTTAAGGCATTAATCCACATTACCAACTCCCTAGGAGAGGACTTAAAGCGGGACTGCACTACTTGTAGCTACTTGCGCCCTCAATGCCTAAACGGTACTCGTTGGTCCCCCATGGTCCCCTTTTTCTTATGTCAATTGAAAACTGATTTGATGAGATGACCACCTGCCAGTGACCACGCAGGGAGGTATAATCCCTCCTGGCCAAACGAGTGCAGATAGGCTTCAAGGCATCGGTCCCCTGGTTGTTTACTTACGAACATATATTACATGTTTTCCTAGCAGTCAGGTAGAAAACAATAATCATTAAACTTCATTAAAGAGAAGGTTGAGTTCTGGGATGAGAGGTGAAAAATAATTTTTGAGCGTTATCATTGTATTATGCAAGTGTGGAAGAACATCAGATGAAAAGATGTTTCCTGAAAAGCATTGCCCTTCAAATGCCTTAATATTCTAAATATGGCATGTGACATCATAAAAATCGAGACGGATTTTTACGCCACATGTTCGTGTAGTCCCACATACATCTTTCCGTGTACAGTGCTTGTAAGTTTTCCAAGACCGGGCCAAATTTCTCATCATTTTGATGATTCCAGAACCTTGCAGTACACACCAATACTCATATGCTAGATGAACAACTTTTCGGATCGATTCCACCACGTTTTTTTCACAATGCAATCGCATGACCAGAACTCAACTTTATCTTTAAGTAGCTTATCATTTCTCTTTTACCCTAGGTTCTCGTGTCCATACCCGATTCAGGTCCGGTCGATTCGACAGAGCCTTTTGCTTTGACGGCTCATGTTCATCACGCTACCCCGGTTGCTATCACATGGAGTATTATCGGTGAAGTCGTCGGTATGCTTATCCATTGTTTGCCAAAAAGGGTTCAAAGATGAAGCCATTGAGTTGCGTCGAAATGGATCAAGCATCCGTGCATTATATTTTACCACATGCACGGGGCGTGTATTTTGGTGCTAACAATCGTCAATTTCTCGACTTTATACTCATATTGTAGACCCATCATATAAAACAAATAATACATGTTTTTAGCTTGTGCATTAGTGATATGCACTGCACTTGGTTAAGTCACAATGAGACGGACAATGAACTGGACAAGTCTCGTTCATTACCCTATAGTGAATATGAACCTGCTTGCAATGAATATTCACTAATGCACTCGCAAACATGTATTATTTGTATAGAAATACAAAGACGAGAACACATTTTTAAACACAATCGCAAGGGCTTTCGAAAACTCAACTTAATGGCAGTGTACCCTATGTTATTAACCTTTGATAAAAAGTGCAGAAATTGGTCTTGAATTGATTCTTTGAGAGTTTATGCGATCATGTTTTGATTTCACCTTTAATACGAGTATCAACCTTTCACACGTTCATTCCGATGTTATATTCTGCCAAATTGCATTTGAAAATAACATCCTAGCTGTTAATACCTTATCGCAATTAATTGAATAACCCGGATACAATTTTGGTCCATGTTTCTTGACCCCATAGCTATGGAGGATATGGACTTCACAGGCAGTGCTAGCAACACAGAGCTTGAAGGGTCGACATGGTCAATCGTACATATCGAAAAAGGTATCTAGCTAATCTTGTCTTTGGAATAATTTACCATTTAATTTGAGAATCCTAACTTCCTTAGAGACCTTTAAATCCAAGCTGAAATGATATCTCTTTTTAACAATATCTGTACTTAGCACTATGACACTCATCCGAACTTTCTCGTCCAAACTTGCTAATTCTTTCTATTTTTCTTGTGAGCCTCGGAATAGCATTGCCTGGATAGACGGCGCTATATAAATGCCTATTATTATTTTTATCTTTTAGATGAGATTTATATATGTAATCATATATGTAATCATATATTTTTATATGTAATCATTGCACATTTACAGACATCGCACTTTGTCCTAATTATACCACTTTCCTGCCACCTTAAAGCAGGCCCGTAGCCAGAGTTTGATGTTGGGGGGGGGGGGGGGGGGCACATACATTTAATTGATCGACGTCCTGGGGAGGGGTCTAAAAAAGATCAACCGATCTTGGAAATTGGCTACGTGTCTGCCTTCAAGAGATTTCCCCAGTATTATGAAGGTGGTTTACCTTTTGCAGCAGTGTGTGCATTTTCTTTTCCAAATCTGTGACTTTGTAAACGCCAGATAATGATACTTTTAGCACCCTTAATACCCGATAACATTATCAGTATTAGCATCATTATTAGGTTCATATAGAATGACTGACATTGATTACAGCGTATACTGAAAGGGTTTGTGGGTTTAAACAAGCCTTTTTTCTTCTTCTCAAGAAAGCACAATTGATGATCATAATGTACCAGACTGTGCAATTTAATTGCAAAAGGAAAAACATCGATAAATAGCAGTAACAAATGGGAAGATGGCGTTTATGTAAAAACAGATCTTATCTCTCTCTCTCAAAGCGAATTGTTTTCAAACTGACATAGGAAAAACGATTATTAAGCAAATGCTATTGATGTATAGTCTCGTAAATGTGATGTTTTCGTTTTAAAATTCTTTTTCCTTAATGATTTCACTTATTAACAGGTGTTCTACGACCAAACGAAAAATATGTTGTCCTTGTGATGGCTACTGATGAACAGGGTCAAACCGGTTCAAGCCAGATGGAACTGGTTGTGGCTAGTGGCGTTTCGTCGTGTCAACTAAATCTTGAAAGTGGAAATACTTATACCGAACTTGACGAGGTAATCATCTCCTATTTTTTTCTACGGAACGTTTCCGTTAAAAACATAAACTGGTAGAACGATGAAAAAGATTGTGGTTGAAGGTATCTTAAATTAAGCCATTGCCTCCTGGAACCGGGTGGTCCCTCTATGAAGCTTATGGGAATGAGAGACTCCAGTAGTCTGTGGGTTAAGTTTGCATTTGGTGAACGATGCAGTAGAAGCCGCATACATTCTGCTTCGTACATAATTAGTTTGGTACCGGGTCTTGTTTGCCAAATCTGGTTCACTTATTAAGAATCTCAGTTGACAACTGTTTATACTACTTTCTGAGATGTAGGGAGTTACGAAATGTCTACCCTTCCTGGTATGGACTAGCTATTGAAAGGCCATTTCTCGGAGAAAAAAAGAAGATAAAAAGAAGAAATGATCCAAGAGGGATGTTATTGCAAATTCCCAGAAAAAATATAATTTTTTGAATTCAAAAATACGCAAAAAGTAAAACAGTACATGAATATAACAACACATCTTTTCCATTTGTTTTTACTAGATTACCTTTACAATTGACCATTGCGTGACCGAGGAGGACGCCTATCCACTGACCTATCAGCTACTAAGTTCTTTTAGTGGCAGCAATAAAAGGTCAATGACCCCTGCTGGCGTACGACCCCTAATAAATATCGTCGGACCCCCAGCGAGAGAAGGCTTGGGAAACAGATCATTCTTTGCCCACGTAAGAATATTTTTTATATTTAATTAATCTATCTTTATTGATTAATTTATCTTTATTAATGTTCTTTTTTTTAACTACACCCATTCTCTTGTTTTTATAAATAATTTACGTATCTGATTAAAAAAAAGAAAAATCTCTGATAACCCATCCATAACCTCACATAAGTGGTCCACCCTTTCTTCCTCATCTGTACATCTCTCTCTCTCTTTCTCTCTATCTCTCTCTATCTCTCTCTTTAGAACCCTTGCAACATTGGAGTGTGCTTTTCAAGAGTTCACGTATCTTTCAATGGTGTACATTGTTTAATAAATATGATGAATCATTCTGCGATGTGATGGATAGCTTTAGTTGTTTATAGTTTTTTGAAATGTTTAAGATCTAAAATTTAATGAATAGCATAGTACTTTTAAACAGCATATTGCATTATGTCATAATGGACTTTCTGTAACAATGTTTTCTATCGCCTATCACATGTTTCTATAATCTCTCGATGCGCTTCAAGAGGAGTTGTTGATATTGTTCCTCGAGCCTCAGCCTTGACAACTGTACCGCTCAGTGCATCTGGTGAATAAATCCACCCAGTCACACTTGCTACACCAGGAGGTGTTTCACAAAGATTCGAACTCGAAGTTAACTCTAAGTTGGACTTAAATACCATGGAGAGCCATTTGTAGCCTTATTTAGAAATATATTCAAAATAAAAAATTGAAGTAATTTAGACTTTTCATAAATTTCACATCAAGAACATGAAATCTCCCATGATAATAGAAGATATGAATGATTTGAATCAACGTTTTATGCCTTTTAAAATAACTTTTACAAAATATTTTCAAGGATGCTAACGGCTTTCCAAAAATGTTAAGTCCAACTTACAGATAAGTTCAACTTAGGATCTTTGTGAAACACCCCCCCCCCCCCTGGGTGGAGAGTTCCCATTGTAGATAATTGTCTTTCCAAAGGACATTACTGCAGCGCCAGCCGCCAGGGCTCCAAACCTTGTCCCTGCTGTTCCACTGACAGGATACTTTAATATACAGTTATCCAGAAGACCACAAATTATACCTCTATCCCAAAGTCATCGTTTAACAATGTTAAAAATGAGATGCATTGCCCTACGTGTTATCAGTGTCTGTGATATGGTGTAATATTGAAGCCCTAAACAAATCGCGCTTCAAAATAATCATGAAGTGCCTCAAAAAAGTAAAACAACAAAATATTTGAGTGACCGGTTTTACCATACTCATTTTTCCCAATTGACTGTTGTGATATAAAACCGTTAGGAAAACGAAAAATAAAATTCCGATTTCCAATCAAAAATATCTTGATAATCAGACAGGCGATCAGCTTGAAAATATACTTTCAAGCTTTCAATTATGCATTTTTATTTGTGTGTATTAAGTTGTCACTCTTTATGTAAATCAATTATATTATATACTATTATTGTTATTTGAATGTTTTATATTTGATTTATCAATAAATGCAGAAACATCTGCTAAAAAAAAATCCAGGATTTTGTTTCAGAATCCGAGACAAAGTTACCGGATCCCTTTAAAGTTCCCAGCCATATCCAAATCAGTGCTATTGTCCTATGGTATCTGATTACAGGTGTGTAATGCACATGGTAGCTGTTCATACTTCAGTCTTGTGGCATCGATAGAAATGAGGTCATCTCTAGACTCAGAAGCTTTGAAAGTTGTCATCGTTTCTCAAGAAGCTCTGAAAGGTAATACCAACCAAGACCTGTTAGCCTTATTTGATTAACCTGTTGACCTATGCATTCAACTATATTGATGTTTCTTTTAACCCATTGCCTACTGGAACCTGGGGGTCCCTGTGTTAAGCCTATGGGAATTAGATAATTCAGTAGCCAACGGGTTAAGAATATTTGAAGACTGAATATCACGCATAATCACCTGTTACGTATTACAACATCCATATCGATGAAGTCCATGCAACCCACTAATTATTATATTCGTTGCTACGTTGGTTAAGCCTTTAAAAAGGTTTAAGGCATTCGAGAACGATTTTCTTCCATAAAAGTGCAGTCGTAACTAATATGTTAGATGATATATTGGTTAATTTCAACATCCCTTTCACAAAGCCAATAAACAACAATAGACAACACATGGGTATTTTTGTTTAGTTCATACTATTTGAATCATAATTGGACTTTTTACATATTTTCGATTTATTAACCTCCAAATATACATGATATACATTTACATTTGGGATTATCATACCTAGATTTAATGTTGGGAAAACAAAGTTGTGTTTGGAGTAATGAACTCCCCTCGTATAAGTATAACCATCGGAATTATGACATTTCGGAAACCTTCAGAAAAAGTTACCATCGGCTTCCTAAGAATTTTCTTTACGTATTGTTTAAGGTGACTACCTAAAGGCGTTCCTCGGTTTAATCGCACTAAGTAAAGTCGAAGAAAGACTAGCCGCAGTCAGACGACGACGAGCAACCGAAACTAGCGATCGTGCAACGGAGCAACTGAGGCTTCTCTATAGCGCTATAACTACATCAGTACTCGACAGGCCGACAGCGAGTACTCTGATAGATGCCTGTCCAGGGATCGCCATCGATGACTTATCATCAGAGGACATAGGTGATAAGCATGACAAGAATTATCTCAGTATATTTCGTAGATTAAAAAAAAAGTGATACAGATATGGGAGAGAGGGAGAGAGAGAGGGGGAGAAATGGGGATCGAGTGAGTGAGTGCGTGTGTGTGTGTGTGTAGCGTGTGTGTAAGCAAGATAGAGAGAGAGAGAGAGAGAGAGAGAGAGGGAGAGAGAAAGAGAGAGATATTACGGATATCCCTTTGAAATAGCTTTACTGGTATATATCACCGCACAATTGTTTTTTTTGTTGTTGTTAGAGACAACGTTACCCGCAGTTAATAGTAAATAAATGCTTGCCAAAGCTTTTTAACAAATCTTGAAATTATGTAATATATATGTAATATGTACGGTCTGCCTGATACACTGATCTGTAGACTGCAGCGAATACAAAATTCTGCTGCTAGGCTCATTACTAGAACACATTCACGAGAATCAGTTTCCCTCATACTTCGTAATTTACATTGGCTTCCAGTTAAAGATAGATTAATATTTAAACTTCTTGTAATAGCATTCAAATGTCAGCATAAATTGGCTCCTCTCTACTTACAACAGCTTCTCAATGAGTATCATCCAATTTAATAGGCAGCTTCGTTCTAGTTCAAGACAGTTGTTTGTCCCCCTTACAGTATCTACAATATCATATGGGCATAGAGCATTTCAATATGCAGTCCCTCAACTATGGAACAAACTTCCTATTAATATCAAAGAATGATCTTCTCTTGATATATTCAAGCCTCTGTTAAAGTCTTACCTTTTTGAAACGTAATTTTGTACCATTCTTTATACAATACAATGTATTATACATGTACATGTAGTTTCAGTTTGGATATTCATCATGCTATTATGTTCTTATCATTTCATTTCTTCTGTACTCACTTCTTGATTTTTTTTCTATTTCCACAGCGCTTAGAGACTTAATTGTAATTTGCGCTATATAAAAACTGAGTATTATTATATCAAAGACAGGAAGTATGATGAAGACATAATATCTGAGTTGATACTCACTCATTCCGACTTGACTTAAACGGGACTGCACTAATTGTAGTCTATTGCGCCCTCAATTATGCCTAAGCGGTAACCGTTGATCCCCCATGATCCCCTTTTCTTATGTTAATTGAGGGCTGATTTGATGATATAACCACCTGTCAGTGACCATGCAGGGAGGTCTAATCCCTCCTGGCCAAACTAGTGCAGACAGGATTTAAGCCCAATCGATCTTTCACTAATTCTTTTGAAATAATCATTTATGGTTTTCATCGTTTCTACCTCTCTCATTTACCATTTCCAGATAATTTCCTTGACAAGCTGCACGCTCTTGTTTCTGTGTTTGGGTGCGATCAAGAGATTCCTGCTAACAGCGCCTCGGTCGTTCTGTCGATCATCGAACAAATTCAGGCTATGACTGATGATGAAGACACTATGAAGATGTGCAGGTGAGGAGCTCTGAAAAATCATGGATTTGTCTCTTCGATATGAACTCATAGCCTGCCATGAGGCTGCATGCACGCTATCGTTATAGTGTTTTGTACATCCGACCAAACCATTGCTATGGTGCCATGTGCGTGCGTGCCCACTTTCGTAGTAGCAGTTATTGTTCATTCTCATTGTAGTGTGCTGTGTGTTTTGCACGCGCTATTCATAGAACCCTCGCGTTAATCAGATTATCTCAATATAAACCTGGCACTGAGGGATTTGGGGCTTGGCACAATGGGATTAGCCCTGTGGCATGATAAGAGTTAATCATGATAATAAGCCCCTCTTTATCAGACAACTACTTTGAACTAATAATGATATTATTGAAGATATCACTCACAATCAGTCAATAGTAAACTGGGAACAAGTGACAACCAATCAAAAACTAGCAATCATAATCATTATGCTGAACCAATAGCAATAGCAATAGTGTGCGCCTGTAAAATGGCGACTGGCTGGAATGCTCCCCAGGGAGTGGAAAATGTGCACACATTGTGTGCGGGTAAGCCTGAATCCGATGACCGGGGTAATAATATATCTGTAAAGCGCTTAGGCACATCGTTGGATCGGTGTATTGAGCGCTATATAAAAAAAACGGATTATTATTATTATTATTATTATTAAAAAAGAACAACAGAAAAAAAAAACACCAACCGACAAACAAGTGAATGGACGCACAAAGAAATACAAACAAACACATTTTTCTTTATTTTAATAATATTCATAGAAACATATTGACATTTTATATGCAAGCATTTGTTTGATATCTTCTGTGATCAAATGTCTACTGCATTTATATAATTTAAATTGTGCGGCAAATTTGAAGATCTTAACGTTAGTTTTATTTTATTATTTTCCATGCTTATGAAAGTATGAAAGATTGGCCATGAACAGCTGGCCCCTGCCTTATATAGAGCTCTTATTGATTGGAATTTATCGCAGGTTCTCAAATCAATCCCACATTTACAAACTAAGTCATCTCTTTCATACAGAGTTATAATATTATGTCCCAGTCAATTTCAATCAACAACAAATGGTTATGACAAGACGGTGCACTGGTGTGCGATCACAAACGTGAGCCATGTGATTCCTGAAAGTCTTGATGCGCTAAACTACCAGACTAGAGGCTGTGTAAGGTATTAAACGGGTAACGTGTAGTGACCAGAGAGGAACTCTGCCCAACACTACAATCAAAATTCCAAGATGAAGTATGAAATGTATTGTTGTTTAACATAAATGTTGCCTTGATTCTTTCCAGAGAGTTGACAATGAGTTTGACCAAGGCTAACTCTGCTGGCCTTATCCTTGGGGACTCTCCTGTGGAGACGTCATCGGATGCATTGACGTCAACTCTCTTCTATGATATCCCACAAGGATCATTCAATACACTGTCTGGAGAGGGCGCTTTCCAGGTTGACCTTGGAAGTGACATTGCTGAAATGTAAGAAATTACTTTTACAAGTGCCATTTATACATCTTGCACTCCAATAACGATCGCAAAAACTTTCGAAAATCAACTTAAGGCAATTTCAATAGACTAGTCCATCACCATCGTGTGAATATTACATTGACATTATTACGTAATCTGAATATAGGGGATTGAAATTTCCCTTGATTTGATTTCTCGAAAGTATTTGCAATCCACGGTTTCTGTCATGATGTTTGTTGCTGATGGCTTCAACATGTATTGTTGGTTCTGACTTTAAAACCTTAAAGTATCTAGTTAGCTGGTAGGGCGACCATTCATTCTTAATTAACTTACGATGGCAGCTCGACTAATAAATAGATGTGGCATTTTTGGTATTGCAGTGTAAAGAAACACCCCTGGTCACTAAAAGCCCCACTGTCACTATGAATATGACGGACAAAGAAAGCGGACAAAATATAGAGTTCCTCAGGTAGACAAAGGAACATCCCTTCACTGCTATTATGTAGAACAGGTGTCACATGCATATTCACCTGTTTTACTCACTTGTACATAATAGCAGTGAAGGGATGTTCCTTTGTGTACCTGAGGAACTGTATATTTTGTCCTCTTAGTTTGTCCGTCATATTCATATTGTGTACTACTTATAGCTAGCTTCTTGTGCCCTCTATATAGCAAACAATGTCTAATCGTTGCATGTTGGTCCCCCATGGTTCCCTTTTTCTTATGTTAATTGAGACCTGATTTGATGAGATAAACCACTTGTCAGTGACCTTGCAGGGACGTCTACCCCCCCCCCCCCCCCCCGGCCAAACTAATGCAGACGGGCTTTAGATAATGATACATTGTGGTTTTTGTTTTCCATAGGTATGGCGGCTACTGGAAATGTGGTAGAGGACGGTGCATTGGGATAAATATTCAATTCGACCAGTACTCTGACAATACTGATCCATACTCAACCGAAGACGAAGATCGTGATAACCGGGCATCCGCCATATTGAATATCGCCCTCTACGACCCTTCCAGCTGTAAGTTAGGCATTTTGAGAATTACCAACAACAATTATAAAGATATATCCCGAAAAAGTGGTTGAGAATAACATTTCCACTTTAGTGGTTTCTTGTTCAATTCTCTATTCTGATTGTTTCAATGTCATTGATTTTGTTTTCTTTTTGAGTGGTAGGCCAATATATTGGAAATAAATCTTTGGTAAGGTTATACATGCATTTTAAGGTAGTCATTTTCTACCAAGCAAGTCCGTTGTTTTAATATAAACATTAATTTTAGTACAAAATGAAAATGAAAAAAATGAAGAAATTATAAGTTTATAACAAATTGTCTAAATTGTCGGAAATTCTTTCCCGAATGGTTATATCACACATATATTTTTTTTTTAAATGACAGGATACCCATATAATGGGTGGCAATATCAATGATCAGAAGAAGATACATACACAAAAAAGCTATAAAAAAGTCAATGTTACCGAGTTGATAAATTACAAAATATAATTTCGTGAGATTTCATTAATATAATTTAACAGCAGAAGTCATACTTAAGGTTCCAGTCATGAGCACTTTACTTCATATCCTCTACCAGAATACTACTTATTCGTCTTTATTGTAACGATTTGAAATAGCTGGCCCTGTTTCCAGCCGATCAGCACATGATCCGTATAAAACCCATGAATATTCAAAGTATATCTATATTTTGCTTTTGTAAATCTTAACTTATTTTTTTGTGAAATTGAAGTAAATTTCCAATGTATCACTGTATTTTAATGATCTTTTTAATCTGTTAAAATCACGTAACTATTCACTTTTATAATCTATTGCAACTATTTCAAAAGCCGGTCTGGTTACAAACAAACACGACCCGTTAAAAACCAATGAAAATCGGAGAGGAAATATTATTGCATGTACATATTTTTATACATCTTTATATTTTATATTTTTACTATGAACTTGAACGAATTTTGAATTTATATCATGTAATGTTTGAGTTCACGTGTATTTATTGCATTGTAATGTTTTTATCAATTTGTAAAAAGTCACACAATTCAGCCCTCGGGCTTCGAGATGACTTTCAATAAAAAAAAACATTTATAATTACAATTCCTTGTTGCATCTTCTTTCAGGTGAAGAACTGATGGTGTCATCTCTGAGCGACCCAATCCGTATTAACATGACAGTGAGCGCAATGAAGAGGAATCATAAATTCAAATGCCATATCTGGGATGAAGAGGATAAGGAATGGACTAGCGATGGAATAGAGACAAAGGAGATAGATAACCAGATGGTAGAGTGTAAGGTTCAACGCACTGGTACGTGTGTCATCCTAGCTACGGAGAGGGGAGGTAAGTAGTTAAAGATAAACTTGAGTTCTGGTTTAAAAAAAAAAAAATTCTCACAGAATCAAACGAAACTTATGTTCAAGATTACAAATAAATGTCATGTGCCTAACTATTTTGGAAGAAAATGTATACTGGCTGAGTAATGAGCCTAGAAAGATAAGAAAATCAAGGTAGGTAGCCCCGACACCATTTGTGTAGTCCCATATATATCTTCCTGTGTACAGTGCTTGTTACTTTACCAAGACTGCGCCAAATTTATGATGATTTTGATGACTCCAAAACCTTGCAGTGCACACCAATACTTCCATGCTACGTGATCAACTGTTTCTGATCCATTCCATACCTTTTCTTTCACAATGCAATCGCATTACCAGAACTCACCTTTATCTTTAATTTTGTTTAATTCAATTCAATACAAATTAGCATTTACTTTTGTTTTTCATATCCACCAAATACTTAAATCATAAATGTGTACCTTCGGCAACATTTCCAGAAAAATAACGCTAACAAAGACAATTGAAAATAAAATCTTAATTTGAAAACTGATAAAGACTCATTTGCGAGACGTTTTTAGAGCAAGCACTATACGAGCTCTGCTTCTAGTTAGTTCCTCTTTTCTCGTGCTTTTTTCTACTATATTTGTCGCTTCATCGCATATTTTTGTAATATAATTTTTCATTGTATTATGTTTTCATGAAAAATAAAATCATTTGAATCGTTTGAATCATCATTATCATCATTATCATCGTCACCTGCATAATATGACATAGACAATTGTAGAGCGTATGAAGCGTTCGAACACAAGAAGGAAGGCTCAATCCTGAAAACGGACAGGCTCGTGTCATTAATGAACAGTAAACTTTAAAATATAACGAAAGAGAAAGAAAGGGAAAGGGAATTTAGAGTTGAAAGCGTTCGTATTGATATCTATTTTGTATCACGTTAATGACAATGTGAATAAATGACCTATCACTATTTTGACTTGACTTTTTACGTTTGACGGGTTCGTTTTTCTGGATTTTGAACCATTGATTTGGAAGCCAATCAACAGATCACCCAATATATTGGTACTCTGTTTGTAGTAATTATTTTATCCGTTTCTCATCTGACAAGATCATGACCGTGTGTTTATGCAAAACATTTATCTACATTTGCCGCTCGATCTCCGCCCAGGTTAGTTTAAGTGGGTACCGGAATGAAGGAATCCGTCGAATGACGTGAGCCTTGGTAGCGAAGCAGAGACGTTGTGATATTGGAACGCCTCAAACTTCTTTCTTAGTGGATGTGCGCTTTAGAATTATCCAATATTATTACTATTACTATCATTATCATTAATCAAAGTTTGGAAAGAAGTGGACTATTATTATTTTTTCCTGATTCCAGGGGCAAACAAAACCGTGGTCATCATCGTGAGTATCATCGGAACCCTGCTCATTCTAACCCTCATCATCGTCATCGTCATCTTCATACTGAAGAAGAAACAGAAAGATAAGGGAGATGGGAATGTCGCCACCAACGACAGAAGCACGGCAGTGGCAACGGCTATGACGTCAGATGGGAAAGAGATGGACGGTTCCAAAGAGGCCTCTACAGAGGTAAATGAAATACCCGGATGTAACTTATCCTAATGTATGATCACAAAATATATAGGTAGCCATGAAAGCAGTGACGATTTTGGGGTTCGGCTTTGAATTATGCAAGTTATTGACTTTTAGGACCCATTAATTAATTTATTTGTTTCTTTATTCATCTATTCTGTGATTCAATTTTTTAGGCAGGTAAACCTGTTTAACTATTAAACATTTACATGAAGTAATTGATATAAATGTAATTTCTTTATAACAAAAATATCCAGGCTCACAAGTGGTCCAATAAACGAGTGTATTTGATATCTTTAGCGCAGTACTATTAATAATAATAATAATAGCTAGTTCTTATATAGCGCCTTCCAGGACCGAAGGCCCTCTCAAGGCGCTACAGATATATATATATATATCATGGGCATGTAAGCAGTACTTTGACAAAGAGGGCTGGATATTGGTCGTAGAAATGACCTGTATTGACTCAAAGTAATATTTACAAAGTAGTAAACTGACATTCCTGAGGCTAATGAATAATTGTTACTGTATGATTGTTATTTGGTTACATATAATATGCTTGTATAATTATGTCTCTTTCATTACAGTATGCCTATGACTTCAACATGCAGAACATGGCCCAAAAGGTGAACTGCTAGAGGGCGCACTTCATCAGATCCCGATATCAAATCTACATGTAAATCGATACCAGATAGTCTCACCTTCCCGGTTTGATCAAAATTGATTTGAATATTACAGGGATTCAAATTTTGCGCGGATCTACATCACAACTGTTGCAACTGAAATCATATCTGGTATTAAATCAATATGACAATTTATCCTTTTGATACCATTGGAGACCAGATGCTTGTTTTATTGTAAAATAAATCTGCATGAAGTGTGGGTTTTATTTATTTCGTATCTTTATCGTATGAAAATGCCATTTAGCTTTAATTTAGACACAATATGTAGGAAATTGTAAATAATACATGATTACTTTTTATTATTACGCGGATGATTTATAAATGGATTTTAAATTCAGTGCATTTATACATATTGCCTGGGGTAAGGGGTCTGTACATAATTGTTTCCATAATGCCTTAATTTAAAAAATTGAATCATGAATAGAAAAATAAAACAGTGCAATTATAATCTTATACTTATAAAGTTTGATCAATTACTTGAGATTCTTCCAGGAAATAGAAGTGTTTAATCCAGTATCTCACGTAAAAGTTCTCCATCATGTACTTTACTACCACTCATTAAAAACAATACGATGCAAAAGTGTACTGTTATGTCGGTCTGTACAACCAAAGTCCACAGTTACTATGGTTACTATTGTTCACCTCTCCTTTTTCCTCTCCGAGAAAAGTCTTCCAAAATCTTTAATTACCTCTCAGTTTTCTATTTAGATGCTGAAATCTTGCCAATATATTGCATGAAGAAAAAATGTGAAGAGAGGATGTGGGTCAATACAATAAACATTTTAGGACATGCAGGGCTACAAAAGAAGAATTGAAATAAAACGAAATATATATATATATTTTTTTTTTTAAAGGAATATATAGGCCTCAGATTGAACAAGCTGCGTCTTTCTCACCAAATGGAGTGATGTTTGTATTTTAAATCTTTCTACCTTCTCTTACGATTAAAATAATGCATTGTTAATCTTTTCTGTATATGATCTGGATCACCAACTGTCACTAAATTTGTAAAATGTAATTGAAATTCGCATCGTAGAGGTGTTGTAGTCGAGTGGTCTCAACAATTGATAGGAGATACGAAGGTTTTTGGTTAGATCCCTGGCACGGCACTTAGGTCCTTTTACAAGGCTTTTTTTTTTACCTACAATACTCCTCTTCACCCACGTTTTAAATCCGTAGGATAGGAAAGTCATTGACGTTTGTTTAGCATTGTGAGAGTCCGTAAGAAGGCTCCTCAATGAGTGGAGAATGTGCAAACATTGTATGCGGGCAAGCCTAAATCCCATGATCGGGTTGAAATATATCTGAAAAGGTGTTAGAGAAATCTTAGATGCATTAGTAGGTATATTATACATATACATCCATAATATATATTTGTTTCCTTCATCCTAAAATAGACAAGTGCTCAATTAAAAGGTTATAGTGGTTATGTTTTAGGAACTTCATGCATAACAACATGAATATTTGGCTTTCGAAAAAAATTAATTTCTTTTCGTGAAGAAAAAAGTATATATATTTCAATGTATAAAGCTGAGGAAATTGAAAATTCATCGTATCGCTTATTGTTTTGACAAGTAAGAAATAGTGTGGCATAGAATAAGAAGTTGATGCAGCAGTTTCTCAATCCTGCATCTGTTTGTTAACGGTATAATATTTTGATTATAGTTTTATCACCATGTGCATCTCATAGACAGATTTCGTTACCAATATAAATTATGTGTAATATAGGCTTGCGGATGCACCGTGTGTGAGAGAGGGAGGATTGAGGAGTCCTGAAAAGGACTCTCGGTAATCTTTCTTGAGGGTGTATAGTCCTGAAAAGGACTGTTGATGTAGTCTTGAAAAAGACTGTTGGTTATCTTTCTTAGCTTATAGTTCTAAGGAGAACTATAGCGCTGGGAGAGAATGGGTGGCGGGAGTGGCTCGACGTTTACATGTAGTATAATTGGGAAATATTTTATAGTGATGCTCCACATAATTTAATTACGTTAAAGGGAAATCCTACCTGTAATAATAGCAAATTAATGTAATAGAGAGCGGAACAATCGGGTAAACATATTGGTAAAAGTTCAAGCGAAATCGGACATAAGCTAAGAAAGCTATTAGTGAACAACAAAAAATGTATCCACTATACATGTAGGTATGTTCATTTGAATAGTGCCCGAAGGGAGACGCACTAAGAAGAAAATCTGAAATTATGTTTTTGTGTACACGACAATCGAGAAAGAGGTCCGTGACTAAGTCAAAATCCACCGTCCTAATTGATTTAATGGACAGTGTATTCCTTCTATGTAAATTCCAGATTATTTGAAACCCAGAAAGATACTTGAAATCCCCTGAATCGTTAATATGATTTGATGGCAGATTAAAATAACTTACAGTCGATCGGGTGATAAACTACTGCCATTCATTGTAACAAAAGGCCACAAACCGTATTTTCGTTAATATTATGTACCAAAACAATATCGCTTAATCTTAATCGCTTTTACTAAACATAAATATTTTGAATATAATAAATATTTGTTATTATTGGTCTAAGTGTATACAGATCTTTGATATTTTTCTTGCCTACAGTAAATTTAAATTTTTATAATAAGTTGGTGATGGTTCTTTAAAATTAAATGTTTCTGTAAAAAGATTGCCATGAATGTTGCTTGATCTGTTCTTTGCAAACTGTCTATATAAAAAGGTCCCACGTTGCTGTTAAACGGGCGAATGTTTCACATAATGGAGGTGTCGTGGTTTTGTGGACATGTCACCGGGTTGTGGGTCACAAGGTTCACGGTTCGAGTCCCACCTCAGCACGACATTTGCCATTCTTCACCGATCGAGGTGTTAAATAGGTACCCGATGCCAGCGTTAATGTGATTGGATGTGCGTGTGTTGGCTTGTATACTGGTGCCTGCCCAGACTATGGTGGTGTTGGTTATTTTACCTGACTGCTAAGAAAGCATAAATGCTTGTTAGTAAGTAACCAGAGGACCGACAGCTTTACGTCCTCTCCGACGGAATAATACTCAGGGAGCTGAGCGTGTTTACTATTATAATATGAGTCAGCTAGGAGTAGGACCCAACCCAAACTTTGCATCCTTAGGACCCAATTTTCATTCCTTTTAACATTTCCTGTCTGACTTGAGATGGTTCTTTCCCACAAAGAAATATTGTAACTGACTTCTATAGCAATAAAGAAAGACGTTAGACAAGTTTTGTTCACTGACACCATAACATTAGAATGACGTGTAAACAAATAGTTGAAATATAGTTGAAATATTTATTGGTTACTGAATCATCATAGGTTATAACAATAATGTGACAATGTCTTTACATGAGTATAAAACATAAGTTAAATTACATTTCCACATTCAGTAAATCATAGATACATACGCTCGAAGAGGTGATGATACAGAAGGGCTACAGCCTAAGCGTGACAGCTTGATACGCTTGCAGCCCAGAAACATTTAAAATCATAACGATTGTAAAGTAAAGTAAATTACAGAACATAATTGGGAGAAAATAACAAAAAATAAACAGTGACTTGCAACCAAAAAAAAAAAAAAATGGGATAGAGGGTGCATGGGAGGGGGATTTTCCTGCTATATCAAGGAAATGCTGACAAACATATATGATATCATGTGTTAATTTAAGAGATTTGTCAATATTTGCTCAATAAAATTGATTTCACACTTTTCTTGAAAGTATATACTGACTTCAAGTTACGGATGTCAACGGACAGTGAGTTCCAAATATCCGGACCAGAATGTCTTATAGATTTCATAGCCATTGTTGTTTTAGGATTACATAAATGGTATTTATTTGATTGTCTGGTTGGGTATGTATGAATAAGCATGAAATGAATAAGCAAAGAAATAGTACACAAAGAAAATGCGCATGTAGCCATGGTCACCTGAGCGAAACAATGAAAACCTTGCAGGGAGAGAGAAATAGAGATGGAGGCATGTATTTAGACGTATATATAAAGATATACAGGGAGAGAGAGAGAGAGATGGCGATATATATGATGATGATGATGATTCACAGCATTTGTATGGCACCATATATCTGTTTAAAAAAACATTCAAAGGCGCGAGCTCCTCCATTAAAATTATATATATATATATATAGAGAGAGAGAGAAAGAGACAGAGAGAGAGAGAAAGAAAGAGAGAGAGAGAGAGCCGAGAGAGAGAGGCAGAGTGAGTGAGTGAGTGAGAGGAAAGAAAGGCAACATTTGTGGGGTCTGGGCGCTATTAATAAAGACCGCGTTATTCATAATAGGAGAAGAGGGTCACTATCCACAATAAATAAGGACCGTTATTCATAAGGACAGCTATTCATATTATGAGATGAGGGTCGCTATTCATAATGCACATTGAGGGTCATTATTCATAAGAATCGCTATTCATCAACAAGAAGAAGGGGCCGTGAGAAATCTGTTCTTATTTTTATTTTGGGATGGGATATCTAGCCCTCGTAGCAACAAGGGGTCGTGATATAAGATGGGAGTTGCTGCTACCTTGTTTGGCGTTCAACAATAAGGGATAGAGCAACGTCGATATGGCGCTGCTCAGTGGCTGCCGGGCTCACGATCAATTGGGCAAAAAAGAATTTCCATTTTCGGTTTAGCTTAATAAATTTTGGATTGGACTTTAAAAACAGATTATTATTATTATATTCTATTATTCTATATAAATACAGAACAAGCACTGGAAAAATATGTAAAAATATGCATGCAGGGTCAGAAAAAGTTAAACATTAATTAATTCGAGACATGATAAATTCAAAACAAACACAGAAAATACATGTAATAGTTATTTAAGTCCATGTATACAGGTGTAAAGGTTTCACACACGAAATATAAAGAATTACTTTAAATAGCCATACCAAAATAAAAAAGAAAATGTAATAAAGAGAACAAAACAAACGAAGAGTAAGGCTGACGTGAGTTGTCATGAAACAAGATAGATAATATATTGTTTCAGTATACTTACTTTACTGTTGTATCCCTACTGTTATACCATATTAAGAAACAAAAATTTAACACAAAATACCTACAGATTAGAGCATATAAGAATAAAAGGAAATGGAGGGTATGTAAGAAGAAAGAGAGAAGAAGAAGAAGAAGAAGAAGAAGAAGAAGAAGAAGAAGAAGAAGAAACAGTATTTAAATGTATATTAATCATGGTCATGTATATTATATAAAATGTATACTAAAACAGGGCCCTATGAATGTCATTTATATGTTGTTCCTATGTTCATATGTTGAAGCAAGATTGTTCATGTGCATATGAACAATTATCCCATATGGACACAATTAAGAAATGAAGTTAAAATAAAATTTGTGCATTATCATC